CTGCCCTCCAATGCCACGTGGCCCTCCCCCGAGGGGGGTCGGGCCCGAGGTAGGGCGGCGGCCACTCCCTGGCCGAGACTAGAGGGAGAAGGCCGCCCCAGGCGCCATGTGGCTCCCCCCCAAGGGGGGGATCGGGCCCGAGGTCGGGCGGCGGCCGCCCCCTCCCGTGACTAGGGGTCGGGCTCCCCCGACCTCCTCTCTAGGTCACCACGTACGGTGGGTTAGGTGTCCGCCTCCAGGTGCCCACCTACCCGCATTTATGGCGTCCCGAGCGGTCGCGCCACGCCGCATTTAATGCGGTGTGCAGTGCACTCAACCGGTCTGTGACCGGTCGAATGACTGATGGGACCCAAGATGTCAGGCGCACCATCGCGTGTGTCAGGCGACGTGCAGCCCGACATATCCCATCAAATAATGATGGTGAGAGGTTCTCATCCTCTTATCCCAGCCGGAATCGGTCCTCCCGCTCTGGTCAAGGCAAGGCTCCCGTTTTCCGGTGTAATAGGAGCCCAGAAGTCTTCACCCATTAAATGGTGACTGACAGGGGCACCCCCCGTGTCAGGCGGCAAGATTTGACAGGCCCCATCATCAAGACGACGTGTGCTTGGCTTCCCAAGTCAAGAGACAAGACATGCATTTAATGCAAAGATTATAATACTTCTCCACCGGAGCTAGGTTAGGTTGTTGGGCCCATGTGGTAACCCATTGAGGTATAAAAGGAGATCCAGGCCTAGTGGTGGAGGAGGGGACTTCGGGGCGAACTGGCGCTTGGGTCTCGCAACCCCAAGCACTTGTGTTCTACATTCAATCAATCATGCACAGGAGTAGGGTATTACGCTTCATAGCGGCCCGAACCTGTACAAACCTCTTTTGTCTCATCGTCTTGAAGGGGCCTAACCCCCTCAAGATCACACAGCTCCGCTCACCAAACCCTCGAATCTCACCCGCTGCCCCCGGCCGAACTCACAAAGCGGGGCCTCACGGTTCCCTGGTGGAGGAGTTCATTCTCTGACATCTGGCGCGCTAGGTAGGGGGCGCGTTCGTGATTTTTGAGGTTCTTTCGAGCGCCGGCGTGGTGAGTGTCGCGCCGCCGCTACGGGGGAAGGCACAGCATCCTCAGGAGTGTCGCGCCACCCCAGGCAGGAGGCAAGGCCCCCACATCCCCACCAGGTAAGCTTGGCTACCAGGTCTTTGTGGCGAGTCTTCGGAATGTCCGAGGGCCCCCAAAGCTCCAGCCCTGCCTCACCGAGAAGTACGATGATGGCGTCGACCCCTCCGAGTCCCTCCAGATCTGCACAGCGATCATAGAGGCGGCGAGGGGTGGCGACCGGGTCATGGCGAACGTCTTCCCCATGGCCCTCAGGGGCCAAGCGCTGGGTTGGCCCATGAACCTGCAGCCGCCTCGGTTCACTCCTGGGAGGACTCTTGCAGTTTTGAGCTCCGGGTGCCTTCAAAGCCCGGGACCCCCTGTGCTGGCTCTTCTGTAGCGGCTGGCTTTGGTCCCGCCGGCTGGCTACGGTGCTCGGCCTGGCTCAACTGATCGTCCTTTCAAACTTCAAGTATTTTCAATTTTGCAATTCATTAGCTTGAAATCTTATATTTATTTCCCCCATTCTATTCTCATGGCCCTGCGACGCCCGCGTGTTGCGCATTTGTTTGCTCCCTCGGTGGTAAGAGCCCAACCTCTCTCCCATCTACATGAATGATTCTTCGCTAAGTGTGGGGGCTAAGTTTTCTAGCCTTATCCTAGCCTTAAGTTGAGCCCCGGGTGCCGTCGACGCCCGGGACCCCCTGTGCTAGCTCTTCCGTAGCGGCTGGCTTTGGTCCCACCGGCTGGCTATGGTACCCGGCCTAGCTCAACTGTGGACGGGGATTGCTGGCTCTAGAGTTTTCGGCTCTCACACTCATGCGAAAGTAATCGTCCATGTAGAAGGAAAAGAGATTGGAAGGAGGCCACCGAAAGGAAAGAGCAAACAGAATGTGTAGCGTGGGGACACAGGCTCGTGGGAACCTGACCTCGTTTGCTAAGTGGTCACAGGCTTCCCAAGATGGTTCGGAACCCATGGTGGGGGGCCCTCTTCGAGCTAAAGGTTTGTGTTTGCTTCATTCATACAAGCAATTCTTTGCTATAAGTGTGGGGGCTACGATTCCTAGCTCTATCCTAGCCCTGCGTCGAGCTCTGGGTACCGTCGACGCCTGGGGCCCCCTGTGCTAGCTCTTCCGTAGCTGCTGGCTTTGGCCTCGTCGGCTGGTTACGATGCTCAGCTTCGCTTGATCGCAGGCGAAGATTGCTAGCTATAGAAAGTTCAGTCCTCACACTCACGCGAAGATAATCGTTTGCATAAAATTATTATTGCTTATATTTATCTCTCGCCTATCTCTTTGTTGACGAAAAAATCGAATACACCGGCCTGGGAGATCTGCTTAACTCCAGTGCAGGTCCAAAGATTGGTGAGATGCGAGCGTACCAGTCAGTTTGATCCTACAACTGACAAGATATACAAATAGTAGATCAAAACAGTCGATCGGCTGACAAGCCGATGGAGTAGTTCCAGCCAATAGCGATAATAGCCGATGCCGATACCAGCCGATAGCGATAGGGTTTAAGAAATCGGCTATATGTCCAATGTAAATAATGATATGAAGGCAATCGGCTGATGATGATGTAATAAAATAACAATATAATCCAGTAGAAACCAATCGGCTAGAAACAAAATACAATAAGCACTGATCCGAAGGTTAAAGCATACATCGGCTGGAGGTCCGATGTCATGAAATCCACAAGATTGGATTAAACAGTGAAACCTTTGTCGTCATCGGCTAAATCCAACTTATATGTATATGCAATCCTTATGAGCCGATGCAACGTCCAGATAACTCACCGGCTGAAACCCCGATGAAACCCTTATTGGCAGTCAAAAAGCCGGCTAGAGATTATGGTTCTAAGCATGACTTAGTAGATCAAACTTAACTGATGTAGCACTAAGTATGAAAAGAAACATAATATCTAGACAATCAAGCCGTTGACTGAGTTTTCAGGGTGGTAGATGTCTAAGCTAATCTAATCTAGCAACACGATTTAGCCGATACCGGTAGAAACCCTAAAACGAGATGCAGCCGATAGAGCTAAATTGATATGCTAAGACTAGATTAACAGAGACATATGATAAATAGGTAGGCAAATATATCATCCAAACCGGAGCAATCCAAGAGGTCGAATGTACTGATGCAGCCTTGAATGACGCCGACGTAGACGATACAATTGCCTGGGCCGACGGAACATTGGACTTACCCCTTCGCCGGAGATCGAACACCGGTGCAGCCCCGCGTCAGGTGCCAAGTCCCGCTAGACGATAAAATAAAGTACAAAAGGTAAAAGGTGGCGATGCACCGAATTGTATTGATCGTAGAGATTGATTACATAGACCCCGGTTTACATATTTATACCCATGGGTTGATACAAGTCCTTGTCGGACAAGAAAGAAACTAACCTAAAGATAAAAGGAAAATATAAAGTCCTTATCGAACACTAAACACACTTTCCTAAAGATAAAAGGAAACTAACAAACTATTCCTAATTAATAGATAAACTGCCATGCCGCATCCTCATTAAACTCGGTCACTTAGGGATAAGCTTCCTTTAGTAGATTGATTTCCTTAACCGAATATAGCAGGAATCCGACTATTGGCGACTTGATAACTCCCATCGGCTGATTCCGAGATGTTGCAGCCGATAATGATTCTAAGCCGATGATGACTTTGGCCTTACCAAATTTCACTATCAACACCGCCGCCCTACCTCGGGCCCGACCCCCCTCGGGGGAGGGCCACGTGGCATTGGAGGGTAGCCTCCTCCATCCAGTCTCTGGGAAGGAGTGGCCGCCGTCCTACCTCAGGCCTGACTCCCCTCGGGAGAGGGCCACGTGGCATCGGGGGGCAGCCTCCTCCCTCTAAACCTGATACCCCGGGCCCATATCACCGACAATTATAAATGTTGCTGTTTTTTCTATAAATTTGATCAAATTTAAAGAACTTTGATTAAAAAAAATTTAAATGACTTATAATATGAAACGGATAGAGTATTAATGTATAGTAGCTATATCCACCAAATATGATACGACATCAGTCCAATATGGATAGATCGAACACGTCCCCTGAAATATAAAAGTCCAAACGTGGGAGCACTTCATTCCAACATTTCCATCAGCATGCACTCTAGTTAGCTCAATGTAAACAAACAAAAACTGTCGGCCGGTTTGGTGAACTATCAGTGTACTTAACAACCCCTCTTTAAAAACCAAAGCGCACGCACCACGCCCGCAACAAACTCCCCACCCTCAACCTCTATACAAAAGTAATCCACCTTCAAGTCTAAACAAAGACTACCAACCCCAATATTTACTCATCAGTTGACCCCTGTCAATTTAGTGTGACTATGTGAGCTGTAACTAGCATTTAGGCAGCACTTGAATAGCAGTTTGGCTGAGCTAGCTAGTGACATGGAAACTAACATGTTAATTAGCACATAAGTAATTAAGTATTACAAATTTTATAAATTGATCTTTTTATAAAAACTTATATATTGTTTCTTTAAATACAATATTTAGCAACTGGAAACACATATTCATGATAAATGAGTAAAGCCCATAAAACCGTAGGTACGGCTGTGTTCGTTATGTATGGTTGAGAACTTTTTTTCTCCCACGAAAAACGAGATAACTCATTACCATTTGATCAATTAAGTATTAACTTACAAAAAATTAAAAATAGATTAATATGATTTTTTACCACAACTTTTCTATGAAAATTTTTTACCCCATTACACCGGCAGTTTCTTAAATCAAAAGAGAAAAATATTAGAGAAGCAAGCAGTAAATGCAGCAACGCGTAGCGTCAGCCAGACGAACCAGAGTCTACTGTAGGAGATCAAGCGAGATAGCCATAGCCCAACCGCAGCGCAGAAAAACACGGGGTGGCGCACCGCGCGCGACACTGCGCTCCCGTGCACGCCGCACGGAGGAGATCGGGGATCTCGGTCTCCCTCTCTCTCTCTCTCGGCGCGTCGGTCGCGGAGGACACAGGTCACACGAGTCACGGAGCCCCGTACTACTCGCCTTCCTCCTCCTCAACCCAAACCCCATCCCGTCCTCCTCGCGTGTCAGGCAACGCAGAGACGAAACCCACGAGACGTGTTCGTTCCTGCTCGGTCTCTGATCAGTTTGCTTTGGGCGTGGTCTTCCTCGAGTCCCCCACATTTCTTCCTCCCCTCCGTACGGATACACACACTCTTTCTCTCTCGTGACTGATCCGACTCCGCCGCCGCCGCCGCCGCCGCCGCCGCCGCCGCCGTCTGCTGCTGCTGCGGGGGGTGGGAGGAGATGAAGCCGAAGAGCCTCCCGTTCATCGCCTTCGAGCACAAGCGGTGCGTTTCCTCTCTCGCCCGGGGTGGGGGGGGGGGGGGGGCGTGTTTCGAGTTTTGCCGTCTCCTTCCTCGTTGCGCCGCGTGGGTTTCGGCCGGTTGCTGTACGTCGCGTCGGTTTCTCCTCGGCGAGCCGCGACGAGGGGATCTCACTTTTTTTTTCTTGCTGAGGTTTTCGGGTAATGCGGCGAGGGATTGGCTGTGCGCGGGAGCGGCGAGGGCTGGATCTCCTCCGCGCGAAGGAGTGTAGGGTTGAAGCATAGGATGGATTTGCCGGTGGAATTGCACGAGTTGAGAGCTCCGTGATGTTTGCTTTTTTTTTTTTTTTGAAGAGATCTGGGTTTCGACGTCCGCATCCTGCTGCACGACAGTAGGAGCAAGCAGTTTCCACTGTTGATTCAGGCATTGAGTTGATAGGATTAAACCTGACGAAATTTGATCTCTGGTTTGAATCTAGGAGAGGGCACAACCGCACAAGTCTAGAATCATCGAAGTTCTATGCGGTAGTTAGTTGCCGTTTTGGAGAAATGTTCCCTTTCTGATGCTGTGTGATTGAAGCAGGGATGCCTATGGCTTCGCAGTTCGGCCCCAACACTTGCAGCGTTACAAGGAGTATGCAGGCATCTACAAGGTAGAAGACACGCGCCCCCTGACTTTTTTTAATCTGCATTGTCTGGTGTGGACAAGCTACATGCCTTCTGGTGCTGTGTTTGCAGGAGGAGGAAGAGGAGAGATCCGATAGATGGAAGAATTTTCTGGAGAGGCAGTCAGAACCATCGGGACAGGAAGAGAAGGGTGAAGCTGCCGGGCGTGTTGTGGATAGCAGTGGAATTGGCGGTTCTTCGTTGCTGCAGGAGAAGATTGTGCAAGGACCACACAAGATCGAGATATGGAAGCCAATCAGACCATCCCTGGGCAACATAGAGCAGATCATGAGTGTACGTGTCGAGGAGAAGCAATCACCTGCTTCTGGCAATCAGGACACGAAGGATGTCATCCATCCGGTGAAGGTTCAAGAGGGCAAGTTATCTGAGGATTCAGATGATGAGTTCTATGATGTAGACAAGGTTGAGACTAGTCAAGAAATGCATTCAAGTGATAGTGCGAATACTGGCATTGACAACAGGGGTCAAGAGGAAAATTTTCCTTCGATGGAAGAGTTGGAGTGTCTAGTCCATGGTGGACTGCCAATGGCTTTGAGAGGAGAGGTGCAGCTTGTTTCATGGAACCTTTTTGCTTTGTTTCCTTTTCTAACTTTAGAATTCTTCAGTTCATTCAGCAGACTCTTGCTTTTGTGGTGACAGCTATGGCAAGCTTTTGTTGGCATTGGAGTGCGTAGGGTAAAAGGGTACTATGATAGTCTCCTTGTGGCAGAAGGTGAACTAGAAGATACCAGTGGTTCGCGTTCTTCAACCTCGGATGTTGCCGGGGAAAATACTGAAGTATCTTCTGAAAAGTGGAAAGGGCAAATAGAGAAGGTAGGTCACTGAGTCCAAATTTCCTTTTTTTTTTAATATAAAAAGCTAGTTTTATTGGAGGCTAGGATTTTTCTTATTTAGCGTTTTTATCTGGAAAATCTGACAAGAAGCCGTATCTGCCATTTCTGGGCTCCTTACAGGACTTGCCTAGAACTTTTCCAGGTCATCCTGCTTTAGACGAGGATGGAAGAAATGCTTTGAGACGTTTGCTTCTAGCTTATGCTAGACACAATCCAGCAGTTGGTTACTGCCAGGTAAATGTGCCGTTACTGGTGATCCGCATTGTGTCCTTTATCTTGATGGAAGTCAGCTTCTTTGTAACTCTGTAGCAACAATTGATTCCAAGTGTTATGATAAAATAGTTTGAGTAACAATTGTACTTGGATATTGGTGAACTGTAGGCAATGAACTTCTTTGCTGGTCTCTTACTTCTATTGATGCCAGAAGAGAATGCATTTTGGTACACCCTCATGCCAAGTGTTGTACTATTTGTGTGTTTTCACTGATATAAAATATTGTGATAGTTGAATTAAATAATATTTTAAAGCTGTTGATGGTGTAACAGGACATTGGTAGGAATTATCGACGACTATTTTGATGGATACTTTTCTGAAGAAATGATTGAGTCGCAGGTATTGTGATGTTTCCATATCCAGGTTTCTGTTGGTTGCATGTTTGAGTGCTTGGAAGATGGAACTGCATGTTTGATTCAATCTTATGTGAAATGAACCTTGGGTTGTTTCCAGGTGGATCAGCTTGTTTTAGAGGAGTTGGTACGAGAAAAATTCCCAAAACTAGGTTCGCAACTTATTGCAAATATGATATATTGGTGTGGCGTGCCTCATTTAGCTAGTAACTTCAAAAATATAATAATTAAAAGCTGATTTCCTTTTTTGTGCAGCAAATCACCTGGATTACCTTGGTCTTCAAGTTGCATGGGTTACTGGACCATGGTTCCTATCCATTTTCACCAATGTGCTTCCTTGGGAGAGTGGTTAGATTTTTACCTTTGTTGTTCTTTCATGTTTGTTTCTTGTAGGAAACCCCATTTTTAATTTATACCTTAGCTAAGCCATTGGTGGAGATATAACAACTGGATATGTGCAAGTTGAAATTTTGTGTTTCTCTTAAATACTTGTGGAACTTGTTGTGTATCTTTCCAAAATGGTGTGAAACTATTGTAATTGATTGATTGTGGCTTTGTGTATCTTAGATGCGGTGGCCAGTTTATAATTATCTAAGAAAAGCCTACATAGTTACCTCCACAAAGCACATTGATACTACATTATCTTACTAGTATTTATTATTCCATTCTGACTTGCTGGATATGTGAACTAGTCTAGTCAACTATAACCCCCTTGGGGGTCAGAGGTAGATGATGCAGATCCAAGTTATCTTTGTAAGTAGGGAGAAGTAGTAAGACGAGCCCTTGGTCCCCACAAAAAGTTCGAAAGTATTACCATGTTTTCCTTTTGTCTCGGATGATGGCTGTGGCATTGCTCGGAATTGTTGAAAATGTCTACACTACTATCAGTTAAATTTATTATTTGTTACATCTATTATCTATGTAAGCATAACCTTGTTTGGTGTAACAGCCTCGTACATATTCTGCTTGGAAGAAAAATGACACCATGTTTATTTCTATATGTTGTTTGAACATTTTCAGTTCTCCGTGTCTGGGATGTCCTTCTGTTTGATGGGAATCGTGTGATGCTATTCCGGACAGCTCTTGCACTACTTGAGTTTTATGGTACTGGGAATGCTTCTGATTCTCATAGTTTCCTAAAATAAAACGACAATAAGTAGTTTCATCTCGTGGGCTAGCTAGGTACTGATATTTTTCTTGATTGCAGGTCCTGCACTTGTGACCACAAAAGATGCCGGTGATGCAGTTACACTTTTGCAGTCTTTAGCTGGCTCCACTTTTGACAGCAGCCAGCTTGTCTTGACAGCTCGCATGGGATATCAGTCTGTAGATGAAACAGGATTGCAAGAGTTAAGGAATAAGCATCGGCCATCTGTTCTATCTTCAATGGAAGAAAGAGCAAAAGGTCTAGGTGCCTTGGACACCAACGGTCTTGCATCAAAGCTCTATAATTTCAAACATGATCCTGAACCACTGGTGTCAATAAGTGATTCGCAAGATCAGATGAGTGATGTGGGAGATGGGAATGCCAACCAAAGTGATTCTGGAAATATGGATGATATGTATGGCGGTCTGACAGTCAGTTCTGAGATTGAAGCTTTACCGGACCCAAAGGACCAGGTAGCCATCTCATCATAGTAATTAGATTTAGTAAATTGTTCTCTATACCTGAAGTGGCTACTGTAGTTTCTAGTTTGAATCCCTGCAGATCTTCTGATACGAACCAGTTTCATTACTGCATATCCTTTATCTGAATTATTTTTATTACTTCATATCTTCTATGGGAATCAGTTTTACTACAGCAGATCTTCTTGTCTGATTTACTCTTCTTACATTAGATCTCTTGGCTGAAGTTTGAATTATGCCGATTGCTAGAGGAGAGAAGGTCAGCTGTTCTCAGGTATGTTTTACATTTCATAATTTGATATTGTCATAATTTGCTGGAAAGTCGTTTTTCATTATTTCAAAATGAGAAATATACATGCATTCTGTCATAGGTTGCTGGAACCATCTTATGCGACTTTGCTTTTAAATAGATTTATGGCTAATTTACCCGTATCAGTCCTTGAGTCCTGATCTGGTTGTCTACCAGTCTGAAGTATTAATTCCAATTTTCTTCTTTTTGATATCCAGAGCTGATGAACTAGAGACGGCATTGATGGAAATGGTCAAGCAAGATAATAGGCGGCAATTAAGTGCAAAGGTATAGCCAGATAACTAAACTTTTGTATAAGGAGGTGTTCCTTTGTGCCAATAGTCAGATTGCAAGTTCAGAGATGGCGTTTACAATGCAACTATGCCACAGAAATAAATTTCACCATGTTCTTTATTTCAAGTATATATAACAGTGTTTTAGAAATAATCATTCTACCAAATTATAAATGGTGCAAGATTTATCTAGTAGAGGCACTTTATTTTGAAATATCCAAATCATAACCAACACCAGTATATCATAATTCATCCTATGAGCTAAAGATATCTAATTTTCTAACATAAGTGTGTTTGAATGTCCCTCTTCTCTTTTAGGTTGAGCAGTCGGAACAAGAATTGTCTGAACTAAGACAAACCCTATTGGATAAGCAGGAACAAGAGCAAGCAATGTGTCAGGTACAGTTGACCCATTAGTTTTTATAGATGTATCTTTCTACCATGGCATGTCCACTCACCAGAAATTATATTGAAGGTACTGTTGCGAGTGGAACAAGAACTGAAAATTGCAGAGGAAGCACGCATCTCTGCTGAGCAGGATGCCGCAGCTCAGAGATACGCTGTTAATGTGCTGCAGGTTAGTCAGTCAACAAGCTCGGTCCATCCTTCTGAGATCATATTTTCTCTCTTAAAATCACTTACTCCTTCCGGTCCTAAATATTTGACACTCAGGACAAGGTTCAGTCAAACTTATAAATTCCAACAATCAATTTTATATTAGAATAAGTTTATAAAATCCAATAAGCTTATGATATTATGATAGTACTTTTTGAAGCAAATATACGTGTATCATTTTTTTGTTTTAAAACTAAGTATTTAAGAAATTTCATGGTCGGAATTTTAAAAGTTTGATCAAAATCTTGTCCTAAGCATCAAATATCTATAACTGGAGGGAGTATTTTTATCTGAACTAACCAAAACGGTAGTCACGTACATTTACATGCACACATGCAAATACTGTGACATATACATATGTTGTGCCCTTAAAACATATTTGTATACTTATTTTCTATATTTTTGTAATATTGGGCTCTCATCGGATCCTGACACATATGCAGGAAAAGTATGAGGAAGCTATGGCTTCACTCGCGAAAATGGAGAACAGGGCTGTAATGGCAGAGACAATGTTGGAGGCCACACTGCAGTATCAAACTAGCCAGCAGAAAGCTCTTCTTTCCCCCTTGCCTTCTCCAAGGTATCCCAATTTGCATCTTGGAATGTTATTAGTACCAACTGTGTGCTACTCAACTGCTTGAGAGTTCAGATCGCAACTCTCATTTGCTTATGAATTTCTGTACTGTTAGAATTTTGAAAATATTTTTGGCTAGCTTTTAGAGCATGTCTAAGTTTCTAATGAGCAACTGTCAGTTCGGATTGCTCAATTATTCGTGAAAATTAGTAGGCTTTCATGACAATGCATTCATGTTAAATTATGTTCCAAGTTATTCATGTTATTTAGTGTTCCAACATTGACATTTGCTTGACTCTGTTTCCCCTCCAGAACATCCATGATAGACGCATCCCCTGGTCGAGCAAACCATGATTCATCACAGGAGTTCCAGCCCAAAAAAATAAACTTGCTCTCACCATTTTCACTGAGTTGGCGCGATAAGAACAAGGTTATTCTTCTGACCTAATAGATACATTACTGACACACGAGGCATCCTGTATGTGGCCGCACCAATTTTGGCTTAGTTAAATGGGCTTTCAATTCGGTAGATAATGTTCTGTCTGATACTCTCCATCCTTGAGTTAGAAGATGACAAGATGTTATATTATAAATTATATCCACTGTTTAGTGTTTTACAAATCATACAAAATGACCTGCCAATCTGGGTTCTTCACAGGGAAAGCAGAACAATGTTGATGACAGTGCCAAGCTTACTGATGCACATGATCAAAGGGAAGAAATAACCAACAACAATGACGAGAAGCAGGTAGAAACACCAAAACTGGATGTGCTAGAAGAGTCTATGGGTTCACCCAAAGAAGATAACAAGTCGAGAGTAGAGGTGCCAAAGGAAGACAGCGATTTGGCAAGCGTCCAAGTAGTCGCAAATGATATGAATGGGCAGCATGAACAGTTGCAAGAAATAAAACTGGATTGAACAGTTGCAAGAAATCACAAACCAACCTTTTGCATATATCTTCACCACTATGGTATTCTTTTATCTGATCTTACCATGGTTGTCGAGAGAGTTAAACCTGGAGGGCTTCAAGGTTCGAACACGATCATTGCTGTACCTATTTTTTGCTCTGTCCCCTTCTTTTTAATTGTTTCCTTTTTTTTTTTTATCATTGCCACTCTTGTAGGTCTATAGGTTACTTTTTCTCTCCATTATTACTCGAGAAGAGAAAAAAAGGGCGAAAGTTATCTGGTTGTCCATTAGTTAACTTTCGATGTAAATGCATCAGGGGAAATTACCAAATGTAGAAACACACTTTGCAATTATGGTATGCTTGTTTGTGAATCGTCATTTCCGCTAGCGAGGGCTTGCTTACGTTGTCAAATGCAGGAATCTGCCTCATTTTTGGAGTTCATTTGAAAAGTCTGAAAGTTCTGAATGTCAAAAGCTCGTTTTGACGAGGAAAAGAGCGTGCTTCCACTTTTATGGATTCTTCTACGTCAACTTTTCATTTTATTCTATTTACTATCCTCTGTTATTATCACATTATTAACATGGTTAACAGACCTGACCAGTATTACGGTTGTGGTCTTCGCAGTAGCTAAAATCATTTGTTGGGTTGGACTCTGTTTTGGTCAAAGTCATCTCCTAGAGATTATTGCCTGTGAAGACAAGAATCATACGCCCTTATTCTCCTTAAGATTATTGTAAAGACTAATGTCTTTTTGACTGGAGCATTAAGCTGTGATTGCTGAAGTTTGTTGGATAGCTTGGACCCAGCTTATTCCCATATCTTTCCATTTCTTTTTTTGTTTGCTTACTAGCTATACCCCGCTTGTCATATTTTCAAGAACAAGTGAAAGATCAGTTTGGAGTAGTAGTTATAAACCACCTTTTAGAGAGAAAAAACGGGAACAATCACACGTATTTTTGTTTAAAAAAGTCTCTGATGTTGGGATTTTAACCTTGGTGTCCTGACTCCCGAACATCTGACCAGTTGGCCTACAACATGGTCGGTTAATTCTGAATTTGAAATCCAAACCTCTTGGCATTACCCAACTAATCTAATGTTTGTAGATGTGGCCCTGGCTAGTCCAGTCAAAGAATCCATCTCATATTCATAGACACCCCAATTCCAACCTTGACTATGATCTTGTGAGCAGTTAATTAGCTGCCGATGAACAGGCCAGCACCATGCCAACCAAGAGAATGTTGGACCAGTAGAGCTCTTTCCTGCCTCTCTCAGATGTGACCTCAAACCCCGGTAATCCTAGCATTAGGGATACTATATATTGCACATTTGCACTCCACTGAGTAAGATGGCAATAAAAAAGCCTGAAGACTTGCTGGCTTGCTGCATGGTCTTGCATGACATTCATATCTCTATTGTTTGCATAATTGACTCACATTCATCTGTATATGCTTGTATAGCCTAGTAGTAGCCTTTGCACTATGTTCAGTTAAAACATCCACTGTGTCAACACCTTTTATTTGCCAGGGCCAGACAGCTCACAGCTGAGGCAAGTGACATTGCAGCAAGTCACTAGCCAGCCAGTGTATATATATACACACACACATACACGTGCAAACGGGAGGAGGAGAGTACGGGGGTTCTTGTGTCACCTCCCTTCTCTGAAAACTACTGAATTCCTAAGGTGATCACATTCTTCTTGGTCCTTCGAAAAGAAAAAAAAAAGAAAAGGCATTCTTCTCTGAGGTAATCAAGAGATTCTTGTCACAATTCATGGTGTACATCTGCAATGTGTTTACCTGAGGTGACCCATTTGGTTTTCTTGTTCAGGTTTCATCAAATGGCAGATGATTCCAAGGCGCATTCGGTGAAGGGAAGCGGGAGAAAGATACCGAAGAGAGGACAAATAAAAGCTAAGATCTTTAGGTCTATTTTCGCCTCCCTCGTAGCGCTAGTTCACAAGATCAAAGACAAGAAGAAAGGATAGGAAATGTACATTTGGACCTGTAGTAATATCTTCATCTTGGTGTATCGAGCTGCATCCAGCAATCATCTACTACTAGTATAATACTAGTAGTATTTACGGTATTAATATCAAAGAAATAAAATCTGGGTAAAAGCTTCATGCTGCGTTTGCATATGGTCCTATGTTTTTTTTTTCCAAGAGGGAACTACACAAATCTTAATGAAGTCGATGGAAGTGCATAGATTTAATAGCTAGAATGAGGATTGGCTTAGTTCAAATTGGCATGTCCCCCAGTTCTAACCTACTACCTCCTCCGTCTTAAAATAAATTTATTTTTCACACATAATAATATATATAAAAAATACTAGAACACTCTCTCCATGTTACCAAATCCTAATGGAATTGTCTCCCCCACTTTATCTAATATCAATGCATTTATCCCTTATTTTTAAAAACTCCAATACAAAGATTACTTGAAAATAAACTTATTTTGGAAGTTGGAACAAACAAGAAGAAACAAAGATAAAACTATTTTAAGATGGAGGGAGTCTCCCTCCAGTAATGAAATCATATCATTTTGAACGTCGATATGGTTTGCAAGATACAAATTTGATCGGAAAATATTTAAAAGCATTAATAAAATTGTATTATGAAAGCACTTTCTGAGATGAGTCCAATCTAAATATTTAAAAAGATGTTAATGTTAAAGAATATTAAAGTTCTATTTGAAACAGTATCAAATATAACATCTTCTTTTAATCTTTTTACCGGAAGCAGTATACAGATCAGTAAACCTGGAAACTTCAGTGAGTTATCGTTGTCATCCACATCAAATCAAGAAAGCAGCAGTGCAAACTTAGACTGGTCTCCCAGTAAATTGCAGGACAGCCAATTATATGAGCAAAGATAGAAAACCAAAAGGAGATAGCAACATCCACAAAAGTCCATTTAGTTTGGCGAGATGGCAACTAATTAAACATGTGTGCGTCAGTGCATGATGATAGTAATAAGTGAAGAAGAAGAAGAAGGCAATGAGAAAAACTTTATTTGAAAAGGCATGAGAAAATTAAGCTACTCGCTGAAAAAGCCAAAGAACCACACACAAGCCAAATAGACTTGGATCTTGACTTCCCAGTTTTATCATCAGCATAAGCAGGCAAATCAGATATAATCTACAGTGGATTTGCAGTGGAGGGGGCCACATGCCAGGCCATAGGCCGACAGGATGTTGGACAAAAGATGCAAGGACAGAGACACGTCGGGCCGTTGGGGCATGCTAAAGACTCGAGGTGAGCAGACAGAAGGACACAAATGTTACAAAGAGTTGTGTTTGCCTTTGAATGGTGATGCAGAGAATTTTCCTCTAAAATACTCCCTCCGTCCTTAAAAAAACTAACCTTAGTATGAATGAGACATTTTCTAGAACAACGAATCTGGACATAAGCATGTTCAGATTCGTTGTTCTAGGAAGTATCCCATACATGTTAAGATTAGCTTTTTTTTTACGGAACGAGTATACTCCACCGTCCCAAAATATAATGATATAGAAGATGATTGAATATATTCTAATATAATATATTTGGATGTTTTGAAAAAAAAGAATGTATAGATACATTATACTATGATACATTCAATCCTCTCCTTGGTTATGGAGGAAGTACTGCTTATAACTCTTTGTTTGTTCTAACACAGAATTTCCTAAAATTCTTAGACATCCATAAGTATAGGTCTTAAGTGTTCTTTTTTTTTTGAAAGACTAGCGGATTTTCCCGTGCATTTTTTGTTTCTAGATAGATTTTAGTGTACTAAATTGGACTTAATACAAGTCTCTTCAACTTTCTATGTAATAGATTTGAAATGGAATTAAATTTGATATACAATTGTCGTCTTTTTTTTCCATGGATAAAATTGCATTTTGCATAATAAAATTATATTGACAATATACACCATTACAATCTAAACTAGACACATCACAACGTAATGATGCAAATCATATTGCTTTTCTCTTATTAACATGGTATAATTTCTAGTAGACCTTTATAGCAAATTGAATGAGGGTAGTTTTCTTTTTCTCCTTAGTAATATACTACTATTCTTTTTAGATAATGGATATATGATTTGGTATTTGCTTCAACAAAAGCTACTTCCACTTATTACAAAGTCCTTACCTCAAAACCAAAGATAAAAATATCTAAGCACGGTAAGACGAGAAGACAAATTTGAATCCCACCAACAAAAGGAAGAAGATACGCATACCTCTTATTCACATAGTAAGGCCCTGTTTAGATCCCCTAATAAAATTTTACACCATGTCATATCGAATATTTGGACACATGCATGGAGTATTAAATATGAACGAAAAAATAACTAATTACACATATTACGTGTAAATTGCGAGACGAATCTTTTAAGCCTAATTGTGCCATGATTTGACAATGTGGTGCTACAGTAAACATTTGCTAATGATAGCTTAATTAGGCTTAATAGATTCGTCTCGCAGTTTACAAGCGGATTCTGTAATTTGTTTTGTTATTAGACTACGTTTAATACTTCAAATGTGTGTCCGCATATCCGATTTGACACGCCAAAACTTTACACCCCTGGATCTAAATACAGCCTAAACCTATTTAATCTTCATCTAAAGTTGTGGTAAAAAAATTCACGACTGTTGGTTCTACATCCGGCATACAAGACTGTTGGTTCTACATCCGGCATACAAGATTGAAAACCTTATCCTCATCATACCTTTGTAATCGGGACTAAAACTGAAGCTAGTACCAACGTATAAGATTAAATTGAAGTTGCATAACATATCATTCCTACTATATCAAAGAGTGCAACATACAACAGATAGATAGATAGATAGATTGTGCTACACTTGTGATGACCATTTTGACTGCGAAAAAGTGCAAAATCTTTAGCTATGTGGAACACCTCACACCCCCCACCCCCCCCCCCCCCCCCCCGAAAAAAAAATCAGTGTGTTATACCAGGACAAAAATGCGCAAGGATAAATGTTTTGCACATTTGTCTTTTTGTTGCGCGTGTGTCTCCTCAAGGCTAGTGTGTTCTATCTTCTTCCTGAAACAAATGACATAGCTCATGCATGTCAATTTCATAGTAGAAAAGATATCAAACCAAACATGCTTTTGGGTCTCATGTCATGTCCCTATATATTTGTGAAATTTGGGCTAGGTCGTCGTTTGTCTTTATGCAATCCGATCCACCGACGGTTTGTTGGATCATGATATTGTTTTACCCATGTCCCTGGAGATCAGCACACATGGGGCCATCATGTAGTGCAATATATCGGCAAAGCCATATGTGAAGCTTACGCGTAATTTGGCCAGCAGCAACGACAACGAGTCCTAGAAGAAGACGAAGAAATGCAACGCGTGCGTGATGCGATGTACGCAGACGTGAATTCTTGGTTATTTAGTCAAGTCATGAAACCTTTTAATGACAACGCAAAATAGGTAGAGCGCTAAAGCTAGGCTACCGCTACCATCGGTGGCCATACGCTGATTGTAAGCTTTACAGCTTATAGAAAAGAAATAATTTGTCGGTATTTACATATGTGTAATTTCTTAACTATGTAAAAGCTAATGCTGAAAAATAAATAACAAAAAAAATCTTAAAATCAACTTAAAATTTAAATTTTGGCATTCGTTTATAAGCTACTACCTCCGTCCCAACATGTAACAATTTTTGGCTATGAATTAGACACATAATTGTCCAGATTCATAGCTAAAATTGCTTATATTTTAGGACGGATGGAGTACAGGGCATAAGATGAGAGCATTTCCCTGTTTTTAAAGGATAATGCATAAAGCAGCCATCGGCAATTATGCACAAAGTCCTCTTCTTATTTTGATAATTTTTAAGGTGGTTTTTATTGGTAGCACAATCACTCTATAATTCATGATGAATCACGAAGTGGACGTAGCTCGATTAGTTAGATTTTTAGTGGTAAAACCTGTCTATGTAGGTTCAAGTTCTAGACTTAATATGGATATGAAGATCGTATTTATGGTTAAGACGCCTGTGGTGACTTAATTTATTTGGTGGTTTGTGTATTTGATCGGAATTCAGAAGTCTTAATTCTTTTGGCCGACGTACGATCGCTGCCTGGATGCTGGTCCAGTGAAAATAATAAGTTGGAATTCAGAGTAGTGAAAATAATAAGTTGGAATTCAGAGTAGTGAAAATAATAAGTTGGAATTCAGAGTATTAGTGAAAAAAAAGGTTGGAATTCAGAAGTATTTGTTTGTGAGCTGAAATGTCAAATTTGTCAAATTTCAAATAACTTACGTGGTGGCCTTTTGCTTTCCCCCCCAAAAAAAATTACACTCTGAGTACCTGTATCATCTTGGAAGCATAGATATGGTGTAAATTCAAGTAACCTCTGCAATTAAGCCAAGAACAGATCTACTGATGAAGCACAGCACTATTAACTAGCCTTTCAACAAAAGAAAATTGATCTTCATTACTAATACTCCGAAAGGTCCGAACAAAATTGAGGGAAAGATGAACAAAAGGGCATCTACAATCTAGCAGCAGCAACTTTTCCTGTCACCATGTCAACTACATCGATCCATACACATCTACGTACGGAATACTCCTACTGCACAGCACACGTACACAAGCAATATACTACAAGTAATATGCATATCAATCTGAGTATCAGATGATGATGATGTTGCTGTTCGATTGGATCGATTCAGTTGTAGCTGGCTTCTCTCCTGAAGCTGCTGCGATCCGCTGCCTTCTTCTTGGAGTCTGCAGCAGCAGCAGCGTCGCCGCTGCTCCTCGTCGCCGGCGCCATGAGGTTGCTGAGCGTCCTCACAATCTGCCGCTTCAGCTGCCCCCTCTTCAGCGGCGGCCTCTTCTCCTTGCCACTGATGAAACTGCCGCTGCTCTTGTACTGCTGGTAGTAGCTGTAGCAGCCGTACCCCTGCTCCATGGCTTCTCTCTCTCTATTTTCTTCAGTTCTTGCTCAGTTGCTCCTTTCTCTCTTCTGAAACTGAAATTGTTTTTTCTCTCTCGTTGCAGTAGTAGCAGTTGAACAGGTAGTAGTTGTGTTGTGTTGTGAAGCAGGTTCTAGTTTAGTGTGTGGAGATGATTTGAGAAATTGAGAAGGCAAGAAGTATTTATAGGCGGAGTGATCTGAAGTGTCATGCTGTTCTGTTGCCGCACATGTTAATTAATTTAATCTCGGTTGTAACTTTGCATCAGCCGGGGCGGGTGTGTGTTTTTTTACTATTCTTTGAAGGAACAACTTGACCACTTCTGGGCCGGGAGGTTTGTGATGTGATCATGGCACTAATAAGGGCATCTATGCCCTGAAAACGACAGAAATGACAATTGATTACTACTACCTGGAGGGCAAGGTTAACGTGCTTAATTATATCAGGCAAAAATTTCTACCTGATGTCTACCACTGTCCGCACATATTTGCTTCTTTCTGTTCGTGCTCATCATGGACGTGACCAACTGACCAAACAGTCTCTCCGAGACATTGCTGTCAAAAATAGGAGTCGATTTGCCATTTCATTTGCTCTATCATCGAGTGACAGATCGATTAATCGATTGACATCTTGATTAAGCTGGGTTAAGAAGAAGAAGAACACGTGCTGATCAATAACTGACGGCTGCTTCTTCTGACGAATTAAGAGCGGTAGCAGCAGCTAGCTTAGCTTCAAGGTTCAGAGAATGTGGTCACTGTTTGACCTGAGGGGGGACTCTGACGATCGAGCTTGAGGTGTCAGTGTCACTGGCTCTCTCGCAGCATGCAACCCGCTCAACGATGGACACCTTGATCAGCAATCCGCCGGCCGAAATAGCTTTGGCTTTGCTTTGATTGCTTTGACCTTATCGCATGCTTCTTCTGACGAGCTAGCTTGTGCACCTATTATCCATGTGATGCATGTTGATCATTATCGGAAAAGAATTGTGATTGATAATCGTTTTGTCATGTAATTAATGTTTTCTGTTTTTTTTAGAGAAAAGAGCTAGTTGCAAAGGCATTGTCTGAAGATGAACAAATTAAAGAGAGGGATTCAGGAATAACATGTTTACTTTTACATGATGTCGATGTCACTCAAAACTCTGGATATCTAGGAGAAAGATCAGATGCCATAGATGTTTCTGGCGATCTATCCACCGTTCAAAGCCTTGAGTTAATGAGTTCTGCCTAATGAACTAGCTTAATTAATTATCTATGTTATACTTTTGGGAAAGATAGGTATAGCATTTTGTTGGTTGAAAAGACATTCTCAGTAACTAACAAAAGTAAAGCACTGCGCTCTCTCTCTATATAATAAGACTCTAATAAGAGAGACATCACAGCATCTATACATTCTAGCACACTGTAATATAATTTGTTAGTTTTCACATATGCTTTTGCTGAGTGATACACAGTACCCTCCCTGATCCACACGCCCAACTTGCCTATATAGCTAATGATGCTCGTATTAGTGACCAAACTCATTGCAGCCGTGAGTTTTTGGGCGTAAAATTCCCAGGTTTCACACCCATAAACATCATGGGACCCGGTCTTTAAGTACTGACCTTAAAGCAGTCAATTTATTCTCCTGCAAAGGAAAAACAAGAAAAAAATTAACAGCATGCATGCATCAAATTAACCTGCAGGCTATAGCTAGTGAAACTTGCACTAGACTGCAAGAGCCCTCACCTAAAAATTCCATCCTACTTTCCATCACAAAGAACATATATACTGATATAGTTATGGCAGAGCAAATCATAATTAAGAGGGAGTTTCTGGAAGGAAAAAAAAAGAAGAGCTCTTAATTAAAGATAGTAATTAAGAGACCATGGTGGAGTGCCACCACCAGTACACCAACAGCATGAAGGAGAAGAGGCCGCCACCGAGGAGAGGTCAGCTCAAGCGGCAGATCGCGAGGACCTTGAGCAACCTCATGGTGCCGGGCGGCGGCAAGCAGATCGCAGCAGGTTCAGAGGAGGGCCAGGCTGCAGCAAAAGCTCATGGATGCTTCAGGCTTAGATGATGAATTGATGGGGAGAGTATGGCTGATTCAGGTTCAGGCTTAGATGATGTTAGTTGTTAATCTATTTTGTACTATAGTCGTTAGTTTTTGCTTTCAGAACCTCTCTTTGATATCCTATATAATGCTGTGTTTGCAATCTTGGGTTCCCAACGTATATAGGAGTAGTGCGCACAGAAAACGGAGTGTTCATTAACACGTGATTAATTAAGTGCTCCCTCCGTTCCAAATTAGTTGTCTCTTTAGGATTCAAATATTGTCCCAAAATACTTGTCACAATGAAGTACTGCTTGTCCCATCAATCACTTCTAATTCAAAATTTTCTCTTTTTTACCCCCAACCATCCTCCCACATCCAACCATACATCATTTAATAAAGGCCACTATAGTCTTCTTTGTCAAACATTAATCCATACTAAACAACCTATAAACTAATATGGGACAAAGGTTATATTAGCTAATTCTTTTTAAAAAAATAGATCAATATGATTTTTTTAAGTAACTTTCGTATAGAAACTTTTTATGAAAAATGCATCGTTTAGTAGTTTGAAAAGCGTGCACACAGAATACGATGGAGAGGGATTGGGAACCCAGGATTGCAAACACAGCATGCATTCAGCAGCTTCATTATAGCAGGTATAATAGCAGGCTATAAGCTAGCTATAAACACATTTTGAGAAGATAAAAGATGAGAGAGAAGGGCAGTGGTCTACAAATTTGTAGCCAGCTGCAGTACAGACTCCAAGGTGCATGTGTGTATAACAGGTGGGACCAGATATTAATTATGTACTATATATTTATAGGTAACTATTGTATAAATTAGTTATTAAGTTGACTATAGATAATTTAGAGCCAGCGATTGGCTATACTATTAAACTTGCTCTTAGGAGAGTTCTGCCAAGTTTAGTTAGTAACATGTACTGCTGTGCATCTCTGAATAAATGTTAAGGAGGCTTCATGTAAGAATTTTTTGATGATGATGATATACGATATTAGAGTGAATTTGATTAACTCATATGTGAGTATTTATGGTGAATTTTGTGTACTCAACCATGTTTGAGGTAGCTTCTTTACATCAGTGCAGCTACTTTAAGAAATACAGAAATACTACAGCAGGTATTATCGTTGGAACGGAATAGTTTATATTAATTGCTAACGTCGTAATAACGTTACGAGGACTTCAACTTGGTACTTCTACCTAGATAGAGAATCATGATTACCATGGTACGTCAGGACAACGCTACGAGATACTACGCTGACTTCAAAATAGTACTACTGATGTGTTTAGTTTACACAAAAATTAGAAGTTTGGTTGAAATTATAACGATGTAATAGAAACGTTGGAAGTTTATGTGTATAGAAAAGTTTTGATGTGATGAAAAAGTTAAAAGTTTAAAAAAAAATTTAGAGCTAAGCTCGGCCTAAGTTTGTAATACCCTTATACGGGCATACCAGGTTTGGCAGCATGGGCATTAGATGTAGTGCCATGTTGACGTCAGCGATGGTAGGTGACATCAACACATAAGGTATCATGTTAGATCAACAAGAACCCATCCTCTAGTCTTCCTCTTATAAAGATATCTAACCACTACACTGGCCAAGGTCACCTGTGACAGGCCCAAACCCTCATCTTTGACGGCTTCGCGTATGGTCAGTGATTAGTGGTCACTGGTGAGTCCAGTCACCTTTGACGGGTGGCCGGCCGTCACAGGTGACACCCACCTCTGACGGGCAAGTTACTATAAAGCCGTCAGAGGTGTTGGTCTCCGCTAGCCTAGGACGAGTTGGGACCCGTCACAGGTGACTCATCTCTGACGGCCCTTTAAATAAAGGCCGTCAGAGGTGATGGTCTCCGTAGTTAGAAGCTGTCACAGGCGATCTACCTGTGACGGCCCCAAAAGTAAAGGCCCGTCACAGGTAGGTCACCTTTGACGGGCCTTTATTTGCTAGTCCATACAGGTGATGTTACCTTTGACGGATTTTTGTTCCGACCCGTCACTGATGAGTTAATTCCAGAAAAAAAAAGCTAAATATTGGCTAGCCTCAGGATTTGCTAGCCATGCCCTCTGAAACACAGATACATCATAGATATATTCCAGTCACCCCCCAATATAACATCACAGATCCATCTCAAACATCACAGATCCCCAACAACACAGATCCATATCAAAAATTGACATCATTCACATATGCAGTTCAAATGCCACAATTTTGCACAGCAAATTCACACCCCTTGAAAGCCACAATTTTGGTCGTTGCTCATATAACCGCATATATACTTACCAAATGGATTAAAGCCATAATGTCCTCGACCTCCACAACCTGTCAATAAGGAAAAAAAAGGAGAAAACAGATGAATAGTACAACGTAAATTGTAGTTGATCAAATTTGATGACAATTTAGTAAACTACCATAAATATTGCACATATGAAAGTAAATTACATTGCACTCCATAAAAACATATTTTTTTTACATCACAAGAAATTATGAAAACATCTTTTTTTACATCACAATAAATTATCTAGCCAAGTTCATGAGTCTATTTGACGTGAAAACGTCCTTTCTTATTCATTATTTCTGCCATAATGAAGGCGCACACTTCGCCTCTGATAGCGCGGGGAGGAGGGGGGAGGGAGGGTTGATGGGTGAGATCTTGAAGCCAGCTCTACCTTTCTGTTTAATAAATAAGATGTTAGCACGTTTTGAATAGCAATGTTGGTATTGAAATGAGCTTATTCGCCATTAGCAACAACCTCAGGGTCGAAATCTTTCACCTCTCTTAGACGTGTTGACATGTTGTGGCACACGTGGAAACCATATTGGTCTCCGATCTGTTGTGCGCATGCGAACTTGGTGTCATGGTAAAGTTCGTCCTTGCCCTCCTTGTGCCTACCACCCTTTTCCACATATGGGCCCCAAGCCATATTTAAGACCTTGGTGATTTCAGTGAAATCATAATCTTTGGACTTATTGGAGTTAAGGTAGATAACCCTACTCCACTTAGGTACGATGACTAGAAGAATCCAATGTCACCTGCGCAGTTGTTATGTAGCGTTAGTACTAAGAACCTTAACTTCAAAAATAATATACACGAAGGGTATTGTCCTCTTAC